GGAGATCCGAAGGCAAAGTTGTGTTGTACTGGAAATAAAAATCTCAGTTTCTGTGAAACAAAAATGGCTTCCCAGTTTGCTCCAGACCCAGAGGCTTTCAACTGACTCATTTCCCTGTTTTGATTTGGTCAGCTGCAATAGATATCAGGCACTCTGAGTAAAGACATATTTGAGGCAGTTAGTTATGGCTTCCAGTAGCCAGTCCTGTAACAGGATTCTGCAACAGAAGGCAGACAAGAGAACAGGTCTGGGGATGCCAGTTACTTATTATGGAAGCTGACTTATATAGCACAAGTACAGAGTTCATCATTCTTAACCGGCTAAGTGAATTCACAGCCACTTTCATAAATCTGCTCACAAATGCTCATGTTTTAGCTCCAAATGCTGTGCTTCAGCTGTGCAACGCAGCCCCACATCTTGATAGGTGGCTGTCCACAACAGTGCTGGAGAACAAGAGAATTCCTAAGTGTTTCACATTCTCCTAGCATTTTAATATTAAAAACAATTCCAACATGTGATTGTAGATTAAGTTTTAGTGGCTCTCAGGCAGATTATGATTTTAGAGCACGTACATCACCCAGTATGCAGGAATTTAGGAAAGCAGCAGCTGTATAAGCAGCTCACACAAAGCACATGAAAACTGTGCTATTTTTATTTGCAAGCATCAGCATTCAGGTCCTCAAAGATCTGAAGTGGAAGTTCAGCAACAGGCTTATTTCTGGAGCATTACTTCATTTCATCTGAGGAGATTAACACTTTAAACGTTAACTCTTACATCAGCTTTGATGTGCTGTAGTACATTGGATACTGATGGCAAGAAAGCAGAGAGCCTACAATTTGTCCATGTCAGGGGACACCCTGAGAACTGCCACCTGCATTACAACAGGCAACAGGTTATTTTTCCCCCCTTACAGAGCAGTTTGGAGGTATTTAAAGGATGCTTTACAAGTCAAACCTTGTTTGAACCTTGTCCCTTATTTGATGCTAGGGAATGCAATTTGAATTCCAATCAAGAAAGCTCATCTAAAAGTCCGTGGGGTTCAACCCCCTCCCCCCCAAATATGTAGAAAGCAGCTTTTTCTGCATCACCTCAGCTGGACTGTTCAATGTGATGAAGACACAGCAAATACATAACAGCAAAGTTTTAAAGCAGCTTACAGAGCTTCCATGTCCCCTGAACCTCTGAAAAAGAAACTAACATAAGTGGAGAAGTAGTTTTTGCTGCCCACAGAAACTGCATGAAGTCAGAACTACTTAAAAGTACAGGCTGGCCTCCTCGGTTAAACCACCTCCTTCCCAATTTAGGCAGCTTTTATTTAGCAAAGTGCCCATCACACCCCCCCTCAATCTTCAGTGACTACAAGAAGCATTCTAGTCAAAACAGGGCACAAGTGTTACAGCACATCTTCCTTGCTGATGAGAGCTGGAGAATGCAAGGCTGCTGCCAATGCCACAGCAGAGCACCTAGCAAGGACATAGACCCCCCCGGAGGCTGCTTCTCTCCCTAAGGTCAGTGCTTCAACTTACCAATAGGGAGCTGCCATTCTTCTCTACCTCTCAACACATTCACCTGCCAAAGCTTCAGGAGTAACACTGTTCTTCTAATTTATTATTCTCCTGGAAGCATTCCTCCCAGGGTAAAACACTAAGGAGTTGACAGGAATCAAACACTGTTTGCTATTACATGGAGGAAAAGAACATTGAAAAGCTTGAAGCCAGCTTTTCTGACTACTTGTCTCCTTGCATCTAGGAGAAAAGCAGTGACAGTGCAAAAGAGTCTTCTGGTACCAGGCAGCCTGCTTATCCAGTATAGGTTACTGTGCAAACAAAGGATGAGAAGGATCTAGGCTGGATCTTTGATAGTGTTTACTAACAGGCTTGACAGTCATTTGCCTCAACCTTTGAGGAGCTTGCCTTTATTAATGATAAAAGTGTGAAGACAGCAAGGATAATTATTTTCGATAAGGATGACACTTGTGCCACGCCTCTACAGGAATAAATACACACACGCACTTGATGGTAGAAGAAATTGGGAACAGCCAAAAAATCTCTAGCCCAGTACAGCAAGCACTGGCCAAATTTGTTCTCATGAATCAAAGAGCCAATGCTGCATTTCTAGAGGAATAATAGCGCAGATGGCAGCCTTTCTGTAGCAATTTGAAAGACAGGAAAAGGAGACAGCTGCACCCAGGGGTTAGGCCCGAGTGCTCAAGGGCACCAATAGCTGTGCTGATTTGCAAGAGCTTCCATGCAAGAAGCAGTTCTTTGAATGAAAGAGGGTCCGATTATGCTACTCCACTTCGTAAGCCAAAGTACAGAGCTGGACAGGGGTAGAGGAAGGGAAAAAGAGGGAAGAAAACATGAGCTCTAGGAAGACAGAGTCTATTGCTTACCAGTGTTTGATCGATATGTAGAAAGCTTCTAGCGGTTTAGAGAATTGTAAAAAGCAGTACTAACATCTGCAAGTACAAGGTACCTGGCATGCAGCCATCTTGGGCAGTTTTACTATCCAAAGCTCTTAAATTATTCATCCACCACCACTTGGCTTGCTGAATGACACTACGGTTATAACGTACTGAATAAGGCCATAGGTGAGGATGGTGCCACGAAGGGGAAAAAATTCCAAAAGTGTTTTTTCCAAGTATTTTGAATAGCTGCACAGATAGAATAACTTCACTTATTTCTGCTTTCTCCCTGCCACCCTGTTTTTTCCAGCAATACCCTCGCCCCTTCCTCCCTTAAGCATAAGGGAGCTGAAGAAACCAGGTCTGAAAGCCAGGTCACAGCTGTACAGAAGAACTGGTCTTATAACAGATCTTACAACAAACCCAGTACTGATATTACAGAAGGGATTGCTGGGCTACTTATTTTGCTTTCACAGTAGAATTTGAAAAGAGCTGCTTAATCAGCTTTCCTAACACTCTGAATAATTATCAAGTAATCAAAGCCTTACAAGATTTTTCAGTGGAGCATGGCATGAGCTGTTTCCACATAGCTTTTTGCTAATTAGTCCTACAAACTATTTCATGCATAATTGCAGGAATTTAAATATATTTGTTCCCCTTTAGTCTCCAGGTGACTTTCATGCCTGAAGACAGGATTTCTTTGAATTTTTTTTTAAATTTCTGTATTTGCAAAAGTCTGTGATATCAATAGAATAGCAAAAAAAAAAATCACACATACATCATCTTACAGAGTTGTCTTTCCTGTAAGCCCTTTCAACCCCCAACAGCAATTATATTCCTGTCTCCCATAACACAGGCATCCAGGTAACAAGACTGAACAACTACCTATGACACATATTGTTCTAGTTTGTTTCAGCTCAGTTTGTTTACTGGGGTCACACAAGCCTTTGAGGCAATGTTCTGCCTAAGAACCTTGTGTTGGAAATCACTGCTACAGTTTTCAGAGAAGTTAGCAAGCCTGAGCTCTAAGGTGATCCAGAGAAAGCAAACAACCTGAGATTGCACACTATTAACACAACACCAGGGTTCTGCAAGCAGCTCTTCACTCCTGCAATTAATGCACAACAGACGTACTGCAATTTTTAGATATGTTCTGCGTTTTCACTCCTTTAGGAATGCTTTGTTCTCCAAGTGAAGGTCCAAAACATGCCTCTAATACAGTAGTGCTAGGAGCTCGTGCCACAAGAACAGAGCCGAAAGAGGAGTAAAACAGACTCTGAATTAGCTTACAATCTGTTTCCAAAGATTAGCCTGATACTAATGTGTCTTCCAGACTGATAATCAGCACAGCTTCGTGCTTGCTCTTTTGGTGACTAGGGACATGTCAATCTGGAGTGCCAACACTGAGATGACAAGTGTCTAAGATACACTAAGGAGGTTCTAGTTACCTGGTATTTTTTAGGGAAGCAACTGCTTTGCAGTTAAGGCACTAGCCATAATCAAGAATCCAATTTCAGTGCTCAGCTTCAACACACGCTTATGTTACTACCAAACTCAGAGTGCATCAAGGAACCCTCTTTGGGCTGGATAATACTTTGTTTCCTCTAAGACTTTACCGATCCTATGGCCTAAGATCTTGCACCTTATGTAATCAAGGCACCTAGCACAGCACTGCTAAAAGCCTCTCATCACCCCTAGAATGACTATCATTAAGTCAGCTTGACTTTTGAGACCCAAAAGGAAGGTTCATGCAGCTGCACTCAGTGCTGACTAGACAATTGATGTATTTAGGGCTTCTAAATAGGACTTGCAAGTTTTCAAAGTGATTGCAGAAGAGAAATACTGTAATCAAAGTCCTTGTACCTCCAAAGCCTCACAAAATTGTACTAAATGCTTCACATTATTGGTGAAGGCAAGGGCAGCTGCACTGATTCTGGAGGTCCTACAATGGAAGGTCAAGGATCAGCCTGTTCTCAAATACACAGTTGACATAAGGTCAATTTGAAAGGGGATTCAACAAGCTTAGAGCTGGCCAGTATGTCATTACTTTATTAAACTAGTTGTGATGATGTGCTCTATCCAGTAATAAATTTCATTAGTCTTCAATCAACTTAAGGCACTTCAAATAAGAGTAGGCACTTTTAAACTAATAGACATTCCTGTATTCATTATAAGCACACAGACACGCCATGAAAACGTTTCCTTCCTGTGAGCCCTGGCAGATTTCTTCCCTAATAGAAAGGGGAGTACATGAACAGGAACAAGTGCTGACTGCATCCATCTCTCCCCCATTTCCAGAGACAATAGGCTATATAGTACTGGTATAGTACAATATCAGCATACAGCTACTATACAGAGGGGCAGGGATGACTATTTCCATACATCCATGGAGAGCCCTGCACAATAAGGCTTGATCCTAAACACAGGTACCTGGGACACTAACAATAATGAAATGCTTGACTTGGAACAGGTTTATTTTATGAAGAGAAGACCCTGACATTCATTTGCACCCAGGTTTAAGAAACACACTATGCAGACGAAGTGCAGCTCTTCTCCCTATAACACAGGTCAACGTGGAAAAAATATACTACTTACTCTTTGGTCAAAAGTGGGCAGGATTTGAGTAGAAAGCGGGCCAAAGCAGAGTCCTGGTAAATGAGTTCAGGAGGGGCAGTTGGGCTTTTTAAATTCAAGCAGCGAACAATAACATACAGAACAGCAGCAACTGCAGCTAGCTTTACCCCGTCAAACACCGCCGGCAGCTCAGGGGTTTCCAACATTGCACTCATTTTGAGCCTGGAGATAAAAAACAATATTAAAGCTTTTTGCAATATACTGTTGGATAGGAATATCAATTGCCATGTTAAATATAAGACTGTGCTAACCAACTAAATTTTCAGTTAACACTGCTACAAAAATCCTACCATATCAACTCAGACTAGCAACTTTTAAGATGAAAGGAAGTTTATTTTGTATTGCTCTAAACACACTGACCACCACAAGAAATAGAAACTGGATGATCAGTTGGGAAGGAGATTTATTCCTAATCAGTGCTGCACTAGAATTGCAACAGTGTCTCAGGTGTCAAACCCTACAGTCTACAGCCAGTCAATACTTTCAGGATCTTGGCCAAGACTATCCAGCTCAAATAGCAGCTGAGTGAAAAGCCAGGCTATAAAAGCACATCAGCAGCTTTAGATGTGTGTTTCTTCCCAGGCATACAAGCCAGGCTCAAAAAGGAGAACTTGAAAGAACTACTGTGTTAGCTCCTCAGCCTGAATTTTGCAACTCCATGAGAATACTGGTACTAACTCTTGCATGTATTTAAGGTGGTCACTTTATGTACCAGTGAGTTCAGCATTTCTTTTAATTCACTGTAGTTCTGCAGCTGAAGCAGGATTAGATTAATATCTATAGTCTTTCAAGGGCTTCAGAGTAAAGGAAGTGGGGCAGGAGAGAGAATTAAAAAATCCACAATATAACAATATCCTTCTAGCTTGAAATCAAATTCTTAAACTGAGCCAGCTTCTTTTGAACATATGGTTCAAATGGCTGGCTGCAGTTATTACAGGGACATTTCATGCATGTTGAAAGGGCAGGTTTTTCCCTGGGTTGTTCCTCAGCCACATGGGTAACCCAAGTAAGAAGTAACTGACAAGTCAAGTCTTACCAACGTCACTTTTTCTTCAAACTAGAAGTAATTGCCAGTCCTCAGTAGAATTGCCACCGTCTGGATCCACGTACTACCTGAGTTACCCTGTGAGGGGAGGAAAAGCAAATTGATTATTACTGATAAGGCTGCATCTCTCAGCTGGAAGGGAAAAGCAGAAATTTATACAGAGGTCCCATTGTAGACACTGCAATTGATTTGTCTATTCAGTCATAACCGCTTCAACTCTGATCCATCTGCATCAAACCTCTTGCCTATGGACAGATTCCAGACTAGATCAGTTGCCTACAGCATACTAATTCATCTGCAGTATGCAAATACACCTTCATGAGCAGAGAGAGACAGAAAGCAATAATGAAAACCAGTGCAACTTCAGAGGAAAGCCAAGCTATGAAATTCCAGAAGACCACACAGTTACCATCTTTGCAAGACAGTGACATTGTCCCCAGTTACAAAAGCTACTCAAATCCCTTTGTATTTGAAAGACTAGAAGTAACAGGCTACTGTTCTCAACTTTGTGCAATATCTACACTGTTACTGAAGTGTGAAGCCAGTCTGAAAGAAGTTTCCTGCTACTTTTACTCAGGCTTAGCAAGGCAGCTCACTCCTACAGATAGAAGCTTGTAAACAGTCTCTGCTTGTTCCCACACTTGCTTTTTTGAGACATTACAACATATCACACTTTAACAAGATGGTGAGAGCCACCAGGAGGCTCAGATACAGCCACCTAATTATCACTAGTGCACACGCACCAACGCTTGTTACAAGAACTTGATGATGCCAATGAAAAGAGAGAGCTTTCAGCCTGTAACTATAAAAATGTAAGCGATATTTACAATTAGAACTGGATTCCTACAGGCATAACAAACCAATGGGGAATCGGAGCTTGCAGGAAAAAGCTCCAGAACCATCTGCTCTCTACCACAGCTGCTGCTTCCAACTCAGAAAATACACCAACAGTACAGGCCATACCAAAGCCTTACTCTTCTTCCTAGCAGGAAGACAAAACCTCAGAAGTACTTTCCGTACTCAGTGCAGCTACACCAAAATCCCTTGGAGGAAAACAAGTCTGACATCAGCTATTGATTAACAGCATGCTGGAAAGCTGCAAGTTTCTGCCACCATAACAGTCTGCATTGCAGGAGAACAGAGGGCAAGGAAAGAGACGACATTTAATATTGGACAACTCAAGCTTTTATTTTCCAATTCTGAGCTTCACAGTAGAAGGGAGCGAGGAGTGGGCTACAAAAAGCCATTTATTCTTCTAATCAGAAGATTACATTGGCATCACGTGTCTCAACGAAGAGTTCAAGTATGACATTCAGCTGTAGTATGTTACCTCACGTCCATACTTAGACTTTCAAACAACACTACCACCATCTGCATAGGAGACAACAGGCAAACTACAGCAATGGCTTCTCCAGAGAAGGTACAATCAGCAGAAGAGTGGATTGAGTTCCTGAACAATCACTGACTCAAGGACAGATGCTTCAGCAAGTCTTCCCTAGCTAAAACTCCCAGAAGTTCTACTGGCATCATCTTAACTCAGTAGAGACACTGATACAAAAGTCACCTAAGACCTTCCTGCCACCTGGATTTTAAGCTAGTTTGCTGTTTACAGCTTTCACAGCATTAGTGAATTTGTTAAATAAAACTGGGCATGATTAGTCATTAGCATTTTGTACTAGTGACTCAGTATAACTGATCCAACTAAGCTGTATCTCCCTGAGAGTCTTCTCTCCCACATAATCTTCAGATTACAAACATACCACATCTTTTTTGATAATTCTATACCCAGTTTTTGCCTGCTGCTACCTTAAAAAGGCAGACTAGCTTGGAGTTACTTTTCTGAAAAATCAGCTGTTGGTAGGCAGGATTATACTTTGACACTTGTGAACTAGTATTTTTCCCCTCTTAGACAGTCTAAATACACAGTCACTGAACATACACATCACAAACATGTGCTAGAGGTTCATGTATTTGTCAGGATCTTTACCTAAAAGCTCAGATCAGTCTGTGTACAGCTATCACAAAACTGGCACTGCTATTGCAGTTGCACAGCTGTCTGCAGTGATTAACTAAGCAATGATCTAGTCCAAGACAACTAGATTGGTAAACTCCATGCCCTATGGATCCAGCTGTGGCACTTCAGGTACTTTGAGAGTCTGGTATTTCTGAAGACCTAAACAGACCTGTCTCAGCCAGGGCAGATTTGCAGGGTCTGAGCCAGAGCACCCCGCTCTAAAATTTTAAAGGGTTTAGCTTACTGAAATGGATTTGAGAGCTCTGCCTCTAATCACATAGGACAAATGCCTTGCTATTTACAAGCAGGGATGAGGTCACCTTGTTTCTGTTTTGTTAAACCCTTTTTGCATTGACCCAATAAACTTGTCTGTTTACGAAAAAGGACAGATAACCACAGTGTTGAGCCAGTCAAATTTTAATCTAGAATCTCCTCTAAATGGGTCAGCATTAATATAAACAGACAAACATTTGGCCTTTTCTGTATACAGAACACTAGATTCACTTTTAGCAGGCTAGACAAAATGAGTGAGAGGCAGTAAGTATATCACTGGAAGCAATCAAGCCTGCCTTTTCATCCATCATAGGGTTTGAGATCCACACTGAGGAACAGAAAGAAGTTGAAGCTCTTGGGGCCAAGGATGTTATTTTGAAGCACCTTAAGTGTACAATTCCTTTTTTAAAAGTCACTTAAAGGCATGACAGCCCCAAAGACAGACAGTCTTTTCAAGCAATATTCTTAAGTCCCATTTGTGATTGAGGACTAACTTTAAAATCAATCACTAGAGAGCAAGTGCTGGATTTGTGGAGTCCCTCCATTTGCCCTTTCATCACAGAATAAAAAGCTGAAAATCATGTTACAGGAAACACTTCAGCACTACTGTTAACAGAGCACACCTCACCTGTACAAGTACAATGAGAAAAAACCCATTCCAGACCGGAATAGAAACGAGTACCACAAAAACCAGTAGAACTACAGCAAATTCCTCATGTATCCTTTCAAAAACACTGGCTTTTGGGAAAGCCATTGCCAAGGTATTTACTTGTACAGCAAGTGAAGTCATGACTAACAACAAATCTGAGACTTGCACACATTTCTCTTCCAGGGTTCCTGGGGAGAGGAGACTCTTCCAGGTACAGAAGTCACTTCACCCTGTGACTCAACGGGGCACGCACAGGATTTGGTAGCTACAACAAGCATTACAGCTCCTCCACCCATGCTGAAGCCAAGCCTGACAAGGCATACTGGAAAGCCAACATTAAAAAAGCAAAGACATTAAAGGAAGCCACTCCCATAGGGTCCTTCCCTCAGGCCTTTTAATGAGCAACTGAAAGCCTGGCAGACTCATTTCACTGAAGCATTAGAAATGCTTTGGGCTAAAGCAAAGATGTAGCTGTATGCAATTGCCCACAGACAAGAGTAAAGGCAGCCCTTTAAAAGGGGCTCCACTAGCAAGACATTTTATGCTCTGTTCCATTCACTGAAGAATCTTGAAGGAATCCCATTTGCAGGAATGGCAGTTTGATACAAAAGCCTCCTAGATGCCCTCCCACCAGTCAGCATTCTGGCTCATTAGTGCTTTCAGAGCTTAGCTGGACACCAAAACACTGGAGCATACCTGGCCAACACTGAAAGCACTTAGAAATCTCCTTCCATATCCTTTTACAGCTTCTACCAAGTAGCGTAATATCGTCTCTTCCCCACTAAGATTCAGAAGAGCCAAGGAGGCTGTTTCTAGACAGATTAAGCAGACAGACTTTGTTAACTAGCTTATCAGACATTTCTTGGACTGGTTTCATTTATTTGTAGTGCCTGCTTGCAGAATAAAACTGAAAGCAGGTCTGCTAGACAAGAGGCAAGCAAACCACCCTACTTTAAAGAGCTGTGCCTAGGCAGATTCAGATCAGAAATAAGTCGTGTCCCCCCCCCGCCTTTGAAGGGGGAAGAAGGAAGGCTGTTTCACTGCAGTTACTTCTTTAGAGAATGTTTCCAGGAAGTTAATAATCTTTAATATCAGCAAAGCTAATGCCTCTTCCGAGACATACACCGCAAAACCAGAAGTTACAGGCCTGTCACTACGAGGTAAGATATTTAGAACCACGTTATGGAGAAGGGAACTTTATTGAGGAAAGGGTGGAAAGTCAGAGCACTACAAAGTTTTTTAAACAAAGCCAAGTTTTATGCCAGCATATGATTCGAATCTCACTCCAGGGAGTGTACAGAAGCATGTCACACTGCTGAGCTTTCAATGGTTTAAATGCAGAGGAAGATGTTTAGAGACCATCCAGATGAAGAAAACGTACGTAGGGAATGTATACACCTGCAAAAGAGTCCGAAGCAATGTGTCTTGATGGGAAAGGCTGCCAGACTAAGTTTTTGTAAAGCACTGGAGGACAGTCTGAGGTCACACAAGCTACATGAGTACAGGAATCTGTGCAAGAGGAATCATGAAAAACCTCAAGCTTTATTGCCCAGTCCCGTATCCTGCCTTTTACCCAGTACTTCTTGTATAAAAGATGCTTTCATTTTTATGGAAAAAGGTGTTAAGCCTAAACTGCTACTTTAAGGTCTCCAAAGAACTACATAGATACAAGTATTTCAGGGCCACACCAGTACTATGCCTCATCGACTTAGGCACACAAAGCAAGGCATCACACTGCTTATTTTGAGACTGGCGTCTAACCAGCCCAAGCTTACCCCATGCAGAACCTCCTATCATCTTCAGTGGTAGCTCAGAAGAGAACACGTCAGAAGCAAACGCTGAGATCATCTCAATGTACCGCTCAGTACTTCTGGCCATTTAAACCAGCCAGCTAAGTCTCAGACCTCAAAGCATAGAGGGTATAATTAAGAATTAGCTGGGCACTTCAAGCACTTAAGCTTCAGTTTTCAGGAGATGCGGCCATGAGAGATAAAGTGCAGTCCTCGCCAGAGTCATCAGGAGTCTGGCAAAGCCCACCGCAGTTTTATTGTCAAACACCTGACAGATTTTATCTCCAAATAAAGAGGGCACACTGACATGTCCCATCACAAGGATGCTTAAAAGAACATTACTCGGACAGCACATGGAAGTCCTTGGCGCAAATCCCTCCGCCTTGTGCCAGAGCCAGCACCCAGGCCAGAATTTGGCTGGTTGGTGAGTATACAAAGCAGCAGGTACTGTTTATACCATGTTCCAACAAGAATTTCTTGGCTGGTGCCTTCACTGGAATTTGACCTTTTCATCAGATACAATACTTGGCTCATGTACTAAATTTAGAGATACTGTGAGGTTACAGGGACAAAGTTCATAGCACGAGGTACCATCAGCACAGCCAGAAAGACAGGTGCCTTTAACTGGAGCTTTTTTTCCTTTTTTGACTTTGAGAAGTCCTACACCTTCAGAGCAGAAGCCAAGCACCTAAGAGGGTTGGGTATACATGCAAAGGCAGCTTGCTTAAGAAAACACCTGAGAATAATTCTATAGCCAACGGGGCCAAAGACTCTTTAAGTCTTTCACTTCCTCAAGAAGGCTAATTTACAGTCAAATGAGCCTTGAATTTCACTTCCTTCCAACTACAGGAACTGCTTTTGTTTCTTCATAGTATCATTTTAACTGATCAAAATGGTTCTACTGCATGACAGGCAGCTTTTGTATATTATCTAAGGTGGTTGCTATGTAGAATCCCTGTACGTCACCATATCTGGTTCCTGCTTGTCACAGATGGATTAAAAACACTGCATTGGCTTCTATTGCACACCCCTGATGTACAAGATTAAACTAACACAAGACAAGACTGATGACTCCACAAAAATCAATTAATTGCATCTTATCTTAAAGGAAAGGCTTGTGTTATTTAAGCAAACATAATTACTTGATTACTGCAGAGACTTAGGACTTTGTCACACCCTAACCGCTACCTTATAGAACTACAGGGCAGAGCTTCAGCTCCTTGTAGAAGAGGCCAAGCTTACTTTTAGGTACCGAGGGAGAAGAAATACTGGCTAACACCTTTCCACAGTCTTACAGCATTAGCAGGTGTCACTTACCTACCACATAACCCTGTGTTAGCGAGCAGCATTAAGCTCAAAGGAAGAAGTGGAATAAACACATTGCAGAGAACCCAACAATCCATGCTCAGTACTTGAGGGAACGCTACTAGCATCAAGCCACAGATAGCTAAGTGAGCTAATACAGACTGCATTACAGATTAAACCCACCCCAAAAGAGTCTGCTGTATTCCTTCACTATATTTTGAAATGCAGCATCATACCGTCAAAGCCTCATTTACCCTCAGACTCCAGACTGTCACAGAGCTCAGATGTACGTATCGGAGGAGCAGCCTGAAGTCCAAGCACATCACAGCTGTTTGCTCAGCTACAGGGTGCACAGCTGAGTAACTGGGGAGCATGCTCCACCCCAGGCTAGCTGCACAGCAGAGAAAGACCATCTGCCACCAAAGTACAAGTTAAGGCAGCTAAGAGAACTTTATTCAAGACCAGTCCAGTTCAAGCAGTCGGAAAACACCTATATCTGAACATGATCAAAAGCTGAGGTGCCACTTCACTCTGAGGTCTTCAAACTATCTTTTTCCCCTGACAAGCAGCTCTGCTCCGCAGCAGTACAGCAGATTTACAGAGTCATTATCTCAGAGACTGTCCATGACAGATAGAAGGCTCACGCTAAAGAAGATTAATTCACATCATTACATTAAAAATGAAGCAACAACACTTCAGGACAAAAGAACCAAATACAGAGAGACAGGACCTGACCAACACACAGCTACCACTACTGCAGAATACTCAGGTTTTGTCAGAACGACAATTAAAACAAACAGAGGTTTTGGAGCACTACAGTAGTCACCAGCAACTCAAAGTTTGAAGAGCTACACTGCCCACTCTCCTGCTAAATCTGAGTGGGAGGTTAGGGATATTGCAGGCACATATCTTGGGACGTTTTCTCCTTAACTCTTACAAGGATGTTCACTGTAAGTGACTGTGCATCTGCTTATTTCACTTAGTACAATCTTTCATATCCACATGTGCCCAACCAACACTTCACAGAACAGGGTGTTCCAGTTAAGGGACACCTGCAGCATAATCTTTCTGGAACCTGCATCTCTATGCAAAAGCATCTTTGAAGATGTGAATAAGTTTAGAAACAGGACAAATTGTTGAGCGGTCAAGCCCTCACTAGCAGCCAGTCACTTGTCCTAGCTGACCCTTTCCACGAGGAGCCCTTATTACACCAAGTACTCAATGCCCTGAATAGGGCCGTAGCACAATTATTAGCAACTAGTGTATCAGAAGTTTCAGGTGGGTTTGGTGCTTGCAGGAGCTCGGCCTGTATTAGTAGAGGAGGTTGTCATTGCCGTTTATTTTAGTCAGACTGAACCCACAATGACGAGAAACTCAAGTATTTCTCAGCAGTAGAGTAAGCACGAGGCAACTGCACTTCTTGGGTCAATCTAGAGATACAGATGAAGGTCTTCTGTACCTTGCAAAGTATGACACTTCCTTCCACTGCCATTACCTCTAACAGAGCACAGGCACAAAGATGTTTCAAGCACCTGGTTTGTACAGAACTGCTTTGCAAAGCATTTTGAATTAATGCTGTGGGCAGAGTAATGCTGGCAGTTAGAGACAATCTTTATTACCAAATCAACTGATATAGCTGGAGAAAAGACAAGCCCTTGGGCACACAAGCCTTCCTAGAGCTAAAAGAGGCTAAGATAGCTGCCTTACTAGGTTAGCATCATTGCCACCCACATATGTTGGGCAAGTGGGACTTTGCTTCTCCCTAAGGACAGACTGCCCTTGCACATTGAAATTAAATCAATTGTTTGGTACTGAACTCAATCAGCTGAGTTTGATCAGATTTTTTTAACTGCATATAAGCTTAATCTTCACAAGTTATTTAGGCTGAAGAAGGGCAAATATTTGCACAGAAGTTCAGTTGATCTATAGTACACGTTAAGAATAGCAATTCAGAGCTATAACACATCATGAAATACCATCTTCCAGAGAAACTCCAAAGCGTAAATGAAGACTCCAATATACTAGCAGAACTCTGATGATTTAGGCTTTTGCTGAAAAGTCCAAAACACCAGTTTCAGGATGGTGTCTGCACCTTTCAACAGGAATTACAAGCACCAAAGACCCCAGCACGTACACCCTTACTAGAGACTTTGCTAAGTCCTGTTCTTAACTTAATCCAAGTTCTGGCACTGCCAGAGCTGGCAGCATGAAAGTAAGGACGAAGAGGCTGGAAATACAGAGCAAGAAAGGGGGGTAAAGGGCAGTGTGAATGCAGCAGCACCCGGGACACTTCCATTATCGAGTGAAGTTAAACTACAACTACAGAAGGTTTGAATCAGTGCTCGAAAGCCACCATTTTCTATAGTACATCAAATTACATCTAAAAGTACAGTTGGAACTTAGTAGATTTGGATAACGTCTCCACATGCCTGTGTCAAGGACAAATGATGTTATTTTGCCATCTTTCCTTCCCAATGCCAAATCCCAGAACAGCGACTATTTCAGTGTGTTAATCTCTGGGTTTTCAGATGACAAGTTTAATAATGCAGCTTTAAGAAACACTAAGAGCCTAAGCTGCTATTCATTCCCCAAATAGAAAAATATAGCTTTTACAAGAAGAGTAGAACAAATTAATTTTTAAGTTTAACTTCTTCAGAAACAGTTTTGCAAGATGGAAGGTTTTATCCCTAGCCTCCACGTCTTCCTTCCCCTCCCGAAAAGACAGTCTGGCACAATCTTAGGTCAGCCTCATCCTCTATCCAGCTAATTCACTCAGTAACCTCCCATGCAAAAAGCTGAAATACAACTATTTTTAAGAATAAGGCAGGAGAATAGAACCACCCAAACATTAGCTCTTAGTTCTGTTTTAATATCCTTCCTGTTCTTACTCTTGACTTTGAGACTGAAATAAATGACAGCTAGAATAATAAGAAAGGCTGCATGCCCACTGATCCAAGAAGGGACAAGAGGATTTACTGAAACTTCTCTTGTGCTATGAGAACTAAGCAAGCATCTAGGAACGAAGGCGAAGTAGACAAACCAAGAAAAGATAACAACAGAACAACAAAAGACTAGTTGTCAATAACAAAACTCCCTGCACAGGAAATAAACATTACCAAAGGTCTGAAAATGAGATATCACAAATGCCAATGGCTGAACTGTGTTCTGCAAACACCGTATCAGTGAGGACTTAGAACGTGTCAGCCTAAGCAATACTACAAACATGGCTGCGCATGATAATCATTGATAAACAAGGCATGTAAGTGAACACACTGTACCAGTTAGCTGATTAATAAGCCACAAACATTTGTTACAGAAGGAGGCACCAGTGATGTGGAAGGCAAACAGCAATCTATAGGAGGCAGACAGGAATCTCTAATACTTACCACAGCAGTGACAATTGTACGTCAACAATAAGAGGAAGCTGTTATGAATTTTCTGAAGAGACCCGCATGAAAATGCAACTACAGAATGCCATCCCTCCAGCCACAACTGTGGTAATAAAGCTGCTGCTAACATACCTCTTTAAAAAAAGTTAGTGTCAGGTGAGGGATTTCACCAGCTGTAATACATCAACTGTGATAGATATACCTACCCATCCTGTGTTGGAGTAAATCACAAGTTATACATGAAGTTGTAGAATGGAGCAGACAGAATCCTGCCACACAGGCTAATGAGCAGGTATACAGCACGCATCAACAAAACAAAGTCTAAAATTGTCACAAAATGCTAGTAGCAATATCAGGACCTAGGAGCTTGAGTAACAGAGGAGAAGAGCTCATTTGGGGGAGCAGTGTGACCTGATTGACACCAGCCAGAACTCACCTGGCTCTAACTCACACAAGTATCATCTCTTCAGGACCTCTGCTTTGCGCTCAGCTTCCGAGCGGCTTACGACTGCTTCCCACCTCGGCCTTCCCTCCCTGTGAGCGCAGGCTGCTCGCACTGCCGCTTTCCTTGCCCTGCACAACCTCACACCTCCACGAAGCGATGGGGAAGGCCGTCACCACACCGCCAGCTGCACAGAGCTTCCAACCCCGGCAAGAACCAGAGGCACCGGGAGGGGACCAGACCGCAGATCACCACAGTCAGGCCAGGCCAAACCCCACCGCAGGGCTAACCCCACCTCCACCCCAGGAAATAAACACGTAAGGCAAGCCTGCTGCAGAAAATAAATAGAAAGAAGGCAGCTGGGCGGGCACG